AGTGGTTTTGTCTACCCAAAGAACTAAATTATAACTAGCAGGTTTCTGGGTAAGTAAAAAATGAGAAGTAATGGAGCTGCATATTCTGAGCCTTTTATTTTGCACCATAGGTTCATATAATTGGATTATTCATGGTCCTTGATTTGTGACATATTATCATCATGGTCGTGGATACAGAGGTCCAAGCATGTCCAATGTCATTCATTATTATTTAGTTTATTTTTAAAGTGGGATTTTTCTTTCCAATTTATAACAATCAACTTCTCTTTACTAATTTTACAAATACAAAAGTTTTATTTGGAAAGTCATCCTAGGAAAGACTTGAAGAAATAAAGAAGAGAACTGATAAATGATGCATTATGAAAAAAATTACCACTCTGAATAGATCTTAATTGTCTGGATAATTCTGGGAACCAGTGTAGATTACATGAATCAGAATTTTCTCTTTCTGGGGAAAGTGTGCTGGAATACTTAAAGCTGATAACTTTAAATATTAAAAGGACATTAATTCTCTGTTATTTTTAGATCACCAAATGCAATGGCAAAGGGCTCCCTGAAATCTTGGATAGTTAAAAGTTGGGCTGGCATGCATGGAATTACAGAGAGGGCACCAATCACATCTGCCTCAGTTAGAAGCTAAACAGTATTATTAATGCATATGTTTCAAAGCCATTCCCGATTAAATGTGTTCTAAATGAATTTTATGCTTTCAACATTTAGCCAACAATGAATGGTTCTTTCTTGGTTAAAATAAAGAACTTAAATGGGATTGACATTGGGATTCTTAATGCCTGACAAGTTTTAAAGGCCATTGCATAGTTTGATGAGTTTTGGTAAATGTGTAAACTTGTGTAACCTATATCCCAATCAAGATATTGAACAGAAATTCTGCTGGTGTCTTTCAGTCACTCACAATTTCCTGAAAGTAATTATTGCTCTACTTTCTATTATAGGTTGTATATTCTTAAATTTCATGTGAAAGTAACATGGTCCTTTCTGTCTGGCTTCTTTTGCTCAGCATAATGTTGCATGCATTATTTGTTCCATCTTTCTACTGTAGAATAATATTCTATTTTTTAGAATAATATTTCATTATATTAGTTATGTGAGGAAGCCTAAGGAATCTTTCTCTCAGAAATGTTTTTGAGGATTTAAGAAAGTCTTTTTAGAGACCAGGGGATTTTCTAAAGCTTTTTTATTTAGCCTTTTCATTTTTAAAAATACGTTGACCTAGCCCTGAAAGTTAACATAGCTTTATCAACACAGATGCCTGCTAAATTAGGCTGCCTCTGAAATAGTTCAAGCCATCGGCAAGGCAGAATTTTAATAAATAATGGACGATCTATTCTTAGTATTTTACCACTTCAGGTTTCTGTTTCTTGTTCTTCTGTGTAGTTCTTTAAAACCCACTCGAAGTTTATTAAAACTGATTTTGTGGCCTTGCCTGGTAAATGTAACATGTAGACTTGAATGTATATTCTGCATTTAGGTATTTTGTTCTACGTTGAATTGGATCAAGATGGTTGATAACGTTGCTCAAATCTTGCGTGTTACTCAGTTTTTTTTCCCTACCTTATTTATCAATTCAAAAGAAGGTTGAAAAAGAACAAATCATAGATGGGACAAACAGAAAAGAAATAGCAGGGCAGTAGACTTAAATCCAGCCTTATTGGTAGACTTAAATCCAATCAGAGCAATCATATTTATATCATTTTAAATATAAGTGGATTAAATTTGTCTAATTCTCTGTTAACACTATCAGTTTTTGCTTTACGTATTTGGAAGCTCTGTTATTAGTTGTACAAACATTTGTGCTTGTTATGACTTCCTGATGAATTAACTCTTATCGTTGTAAAATATCTTTCTTTCTAGTCATACTTCCTGATTTGTGGTTTTTAATATACCCACTCCTGCTTTCCTATGCTTACATACGTATGTTATCTCATTTTTCATCCTTTTACTATTATATTTCTTTATATTTAAAGTCTCTATTAACAGTACATAATTAAGAATTAAAAAAATTAATCCGATGATCTCTGGCTCTTATCAGTGTTTATTCCATTTTTATTCAATGTAATTTTTTAAATGCTATTTTTAAAAAAATTATTTTATTTCAGTAGCTTTAGGGGTACAAGTGGTTTTTGGTTGCATGAATGAATTGTATAGTGGTGAAGTCTGGGATTTTAGTGCTCCTGTCACCTCAATAGTGTACATCGCACCTAATAGGTAGTTTTTGATCCTTACCTCCCTCTCACTCTCCCTGCTTCTGAGTCTCCATTGTCCATTATCTCCATCTCCATTTGCATATCCATGGCTTAGCTCCAACTTATACAATATTTAATCTGATTATTTATATGCTTCAGTTTAAGTCTACCACCTTGGCTATTGATTTTTCTTCTCCTCTGTGTCCATTGTTCCTTCATTTCTGCCTTTCAATTTAGTAAAATCGAGGCTGAGGCTGGAGTATTGTATGAGCCCAGGAACTCAAGATGAGCCAGCTGGCAACATAGTGAGATCTTGTCTCAAAAAACAAACAAAAAGTAAAGATTCTGTAAATTTATATTCTCCACAGCACTTGGCTATGTGAATATTTTTAATGAATTGGTTATAAAACTTTATCATATTGTTTTAGATTCCTCATTTATTAATGATATTAAGCATCTTTTCATATTTTTATTGGTTGAAAACATTTCTTCTGCCAAATCATATCATCAGGCCTCCCATTTTTTCTTTGATTTCTAGGAATTCTACACATGGAATATTACTGAACTGAACCACTTTTATTGGACTGTTTTTAAATTATTAGAGAAATCTTTGGTCTTTGAGTCTGTCACCAGTCCCTGGCTACCTATTTAATTTGCAGAGTCTTTCAAATTGGGCCCCCTTATCCTACTCCATTTTTTCCTTAGCACCTACCACCTTCTCCATGTTACATCTGTGCTTATTACTTGCATGTACTGTCTTTTCCTTACTAGTACATGTAGGCTGCTACCTGATAAATATAGAGATTCAGAGTTAGCATTTTGAACTTTCATAACAATTTAACATTGTCATCATATTTTTATTAAATGAAGGGATTGGTCTTCAATGAATTGGGAAAATTTTTTAAGAACTAGTTCTTCACTACTTTGAAAAGCATGGTCTAGGTTGTCCCGTACCTTCACGTAATAGCATTTGAAAGGCTCATTGAACAGAACAGAGAAGAACTCAGTAATTATCACACCTGTCGGACTTGAAAAAGTGTTTATACTCTACACAAAATATCGTTGCTAACAAAGATGAATTTTTTTTCTAATTTAATGAGATTGTATGTTTTTCTAACATGGGCATTACTTTGTGATATTGGTATTCCCATGTTTATAGCTGAGCCAGGTTCGTGTCTCTTTGTTTTGTGTATACACATATACAAATGTATCTATATAAAATGCTACTTTTTAAATGAAAGAGAATGCAAGCCACTTAATTATGTAATTTAGCTTAATCCTTTAGGCTCTCATTTTTCATGTTTTGAGTTTCCCAGACTGGAGTGTGATTATTAAATGTGTGTTCTACATCTTTGAATGGTGCACTCACTGAGTGTGTGAGTACATTTTTTAGAATGACGTAAGTTCATAACCTAACTGCTTAACTCCTTGTTTGCTGGGTAACTGTAGACACATACCTTGAGTATTTTCATGCTGTACTATTTCCACGTTAAATGGTAGTGATATTTTTCACATTTGGAAGTGAATAAAGTTCTGGAAAATCCTTAGGTGAAATGACCATAAAATCAAAATAATATTTTACAACAATTATATGGCATTATGTTAGAATGAATGCATAATTGGGAACTAATCCAAGAAGCTGATACCAGAACTGTAAATATATTTGTGAAAATAAAGTGGTGAGATTTGGCTGCTTGGAAACAGAGGGCAAAGGTTTCTGTGAAACAGCATGCCCTTTATTTCCCAGGTATTGACTATATCACAGTATTGATAATGTAGTAAGAGCTTTATCCAGGTCTGTTAGGAGAATCTACTGGGTGCTTAATCTGGTACCTGAAATGCACTAGTGAATGTTGAAAGTCACATTATCTTGACTTTTTCCTGTCAATGACCAAACTTTTTGCAAGCATTGTCTCAATATAATTTTTAACAGGTAAACCAATGAGTAGATTGGGACATAATTTCAGCATAAATTCATCTTCAGATAGGGTCAGGTAAATAGAAATTATGTATTATAGTGGAAGTTAGACAGACCCTAGGTTAGAAACTGAACTTTGCTATATTTGCTTTGCTGTGTTTCCATGCAAAAATCAAATATCTTCGATCCTCATTTATAAAATGGAGATGAATTTACGCATTCTATTGGGTTGTTGACTGAGGATTATGGATAACTTATGTAAACGTGTGGAAATCACTATCGGCACTCAGTATGTGATAGCTATGGCTCCATTACAAAACGTTTAATATCATTAGGGGTGTATATGTGTGTTTGTGTGTGTTTCTGTGTGTGTGTGTGTGTGTGTGTGTGTGTGCGCCCACACACAGGTACATTTAGTATATGTGTTAATGAATCATTTTCTTAGACAAATCTTAAGCCCTTATACAGAAAGTTAAAAAAACAAAATTAAGAGAGCAGAGATCGGGTGGGGCTGGTAGAGGGAGAAAGGAGTCTTGTCTGGCCAGTGCTTGTCATGGCCCTCAGCAAGCTTCCATGGTCATCCCTGTTGCCCTTTACGGAGGCCTAGAGTTCTAGAGAACAGCATGGAAACCATGCTAGTGGATTTTAAACACCCCAAGTGCAAGAATGGAATCTTTTTATTAACTGATTCAAGTATCACATGTGGTCTTGTGCTACAGTAGGTGATTGGCCACAACTTACTACCCCACTACTGAAGTTCTTCCTTCATATTTGACTACACAGCAGTTATAATTTGAAGCTGAATTAGCAAACCCACTAGCAAGCTTATGTCATTTAAAGGATGTAATGATGACATCATTTTTTTTTTTCAGATCTAGGTTGTAATTTGCCCCTGAGAAATAAGAAAATGATGAGTGATGCAAGTGACATGTTGGCTGCGGCGTTGGAGCAGATGGATGGTATCATAGCAGGTAATCTGCATCCTGTGAAAGACGGAGTCACAACATTGACTCTGCTCACTTGGCTTTTTCATTACAGCTTTCATATTATCTTCTCACTTTATTTTCATTCTTTAGCCCTGTGTCTTTTGCTTCCCTTAATTTCATTTTTGTTCCTCTTTTCCATTTTCTGCAAGCATTATTCTCAAACATTATTTTAAAATATCAAAAAATCCTAGGTTTCTAATCATGGGTAAAGAATCTGCATCTCAGGTGGTCTGGTGTAGGTGGTCTGTGGACCATACTTTGAGGACACCCCATAACCATGAACGTTCTGATCTGTTTCCTTGAATTCAAAATTAACTGTCCACCAATGACGCTCATATTTTTTTAATCTTTTGAGACAGAGTCTCGCTCTGTTGCCCAGGCTGGAGTGCAGTGGCATGATCTCAGCTCACCGCGACCCCCACCTCCCAGGTTCAAGCAGTTCTCTGCCTCAGCCTCTGGAGTACCTGGGATTACAGGCACTGCCACCACACCGGGCTAATTTTTTTATTTTTAGTAGAGATGGGGTTTCACCATCTCGGCCAGGCTGATCTTGAACTCTTGACCTCATGATCCCACCCCTTGCTCAGGCTCCCGAAGTGCTGGGATTTCAGGCGTGAGCCACCATGCCCGGCCATATCTATTTTTCTTTTAAGAGAGGAGATCTTGGTCTACTGCTCAAGCTGGAGTGCAGTGGCTATTTACAGGCATGATTGCCTATGAATAACATGCATAGTGCAGTCTTCAAATGCTGGGCTCAAGCAATTGTCCCACCTCAAGTACCTGTGATTACAGGCACACACCACTGCACCCTGCTTATTTACATCTATTTACCTTCCCAACTCTTTGCTAAGCTTCCAGTCCCTATCTCTAAGTTCCAACTAGATATCTCCCCTGAAATGTCCTGCAGGCATATCAGTATAATCATTTAACATATTAAGCTCATTATCTTTCCTCAGAATTTACTCTAATAGTCTTTATCTGGGTTCATTTCATAACCCTTCATCCACAGATTTTCTAAGCCAGAAATCACTTGGTTCAGTATTGGTCCAGAATGGACCAGCTCTAATATTTGTATTTTCTGATCTGCCACTTTGTTATCCATCATCCCCATGAGGCCAGAACACCTCACACCAAAGCCCACCAGGCTCTTTTTCTTTCTATACCACATGATTGGCCTCCTTGTTAGGAATTGGACCATTGATATTTACCATCAACTATATGATTTTAATTTTTGCATCACATAACGCTGACTTGGAGAGATTTATGTGATTGAATTCTCCTTTTTCTGTTTCTTTTGATTGTTCCTTTCTGTGACTAGACTGGTTTACCGCCCTTGGCTTTGATGTTTTATCTAACATAAATCCCATTGCTGTCTCTGTGATTTTGTTTAACTTAGGTTCTAAGGCCCTGGAATATTCCAATGGGATTTTTGATTGCCAATCTCCCACCTCTCCATTCATGGGAAGTTTGCGAGCTCTGCACCTTGTGGAAGACCTGCGTGGATTGTTAGAGATGATGGAAACAGACGAGAAAGAAGGCTTGAGATGCCAGATCCCAGATTCAACAGCAGAAACGCTTATCGAATGGCTTCAGAGTCAAATGGTAGGTGTCTGCCTGTTATAAATTCTGTGTATGACTCTTTTGTTGCTTATTCCAAAATTTGGAACATAGAATAGCTGATTAGAACAAGAAAAAAAGTATGGGGCAACAGATGTGCTCTCATTTTATTCCTTAAGATATCTTAATTTTCTTTTGACTCTAAAGATAACTTTTAAAAAAGGGCTGTTAGTGTACATTTTCTAAGTACCAACAACAGGTCACCTTATTCTGCCCATAAAAACAGACTGGCTTTTAGAGTGTGCCTGAGTGATCTATTGTGGCTTAAAACAAATAGTCCTATAAGGGAAAGAATCTTGCACATAATAGATGATTTCTCCGTCATATTGGGTTATTCACTATAAAGGACCAATGGCAATTCTAACTGGAAAGCGTAATGAAAGACATTCAAAAAGCAACAGGGGTTTACAGCAGTATTTGACATGAAATGCCATCTAGTGGTTTATAGCAATCACTTCAGTTCCAGTTCCCAAATTAAATTGTGCAGCTGGGCCTTTAACCCATTCATGCCTAGTGTTCCATTATTGGAATGGTAAGCTTGTGAGAGTTATTTATATCCTACTTCTCAAGGTTATCGCCAAGGTCTGATTTTTCACACAAAAAAATTGCAGCCTCCAGCATATATGGGTTAATGGTGTTATTCACTGAACAATGAGGCCTCTTTCTAGGCGTCCTTCTCAAAAACTGCCTGTGTGACAGAGCTACCCTTTATTTAGGTGTAATGGTAAATACTGTGGTTTTAATCTGCAATGAACATGTAAAATCTAATGAATGTCACAGAAACAAATTCAATGGAGGCGAAAGGAAAGGAGACATTTTCTGCTTAAAGGATATTCAGTTTTCAGAAGATGCACTAATATGCTTATGAGTTAACTGTGTTTATATAAAAACTGATGAGAATTATATGAAAGAATCATGATCTACTTTTGGATCTGTGGTAGACAGGAAAGCTGCTTCCTCTGGGAACCTTTAGAGTGCATCCTACAGCTAAAACATTTTCATATGATTGGACACAAATACTGGTGCTCCCAGCCAGTCCTGTGCTGAATGCTCAGTGTTCCCACCTTGTTTACCTCTACATTTCTGAGTGCAGATAGTACAATCCATCCTTTAGCAGTGGTGCAGCTACACAAACCTGACAATTGGAGATATCTTGCTTGTCAAAACACATAATGCCTTACTATTGTTCTGTGAATTTCCCCTCCAGAGATTTAAGGGTCCAGGTTTGCTGATTTCCTTGGGAATTGCTTCATGCTCCCAAACTGGTGTTTCCTAGCATATTCCTTAGTCTATTTCAATGTCCTATCTCACACCTTCTTTACTCCATGTTCTTCTGACCATTTAGCATGCAGCGAAAAAGGAATTTACTATTGTTAGAAGAACCTGTTCCTAGCCCACACCCAGAGGCCGCCAATGACAATAGTAGCCTAAGTGTACCTGTAGTTCAGTTTTTGACATGTGTCTAAAACATTTCCATTAGCATGTGCTTAATCCGTTCTGTGAAAGTATTTCAGGAAATGATAAAAAGCAGTGATGATTACATGTGAATATAGGTTAGATCTTGACACTCACTCCTTTTTCAGAAACTGCCAATGGCATCACATCTTAGAGTAAAACCCAAAGTGCTTACTGTGGGTTGCAAGGCCTCACAGGATTTGCTCCCCATGACTTTCTGACCTTATCTGTCATCACACATCTCCTTTTTCACTCCACGCCAAGCACATTGGCTTTTTCACTGATTCTCTAACATGCCAGGTACACTGGCCTCAGGGCTTTTGCACTGGCTTTTCACTCTGCCTGGAAAGCACTTTCCCCAGATACCTGTATGGCTAGCTCCCTCACATTCTTCTGGTATTTACTCAAAAGCTGTGCTCTCAGTGAGGCCTTGCATCACCACCCTAGCTAAAATTATACCCATTTATTCTTTGTCTTACACCTTCCTGCTTTATTTTGTTCTCAGGATTCACCATTTTCTTATGTGCAAGGTACTCGTGATATTTATATTATTTATTTTCTGTCTTTCCAATTGGAATATAAGCTTCATGAATCTGATTTTTGCCCTTTTTTTTTTAAAAAAATTACGGTATCCTTGGTGCTTAGAACAATGCCTGGCTCAGTAGTTACATTTGTAATGAATGATGTTCCATGAATGATAAAGCAGAATGCACATTTGAATGAATGGGAGTTGTTTTAAATTTATTCCTTGGATAAGGAACGGCTTGTTGATCTGTGTTTTTAGTTGCTATCTTATTATTTAACATTTTAACCTTGAGAATCCACAAAATGACAAATATTTTACAGAACTAATGATTCCCTTTTTATCCTAAAAGTAACAATATCAAAATAAATTAGATGTAGATCTAGAGAGATGTGTTGTTGCTGTGAAGTTTATTTCTGTCTATCGAACTTATTTATATGTCTTCTTCACCTTGATCCCAACCTTCCAAATTAAGTGTGTTTTCTTGATTATGCAGAGAATGACAGGATGAAAGAAGAAAGACAGCAAAAGGCAAAAGCAAAGTAAGGAAAGGCGAGCAGAACTGGACGTTTGGCGCCGTAACAGCATAGGTGTGAAATCGAGTTGTCACTACCTGCCATGATAGACTTTATTTTAGAACCAAAAAGGAACTTGGGCCAGCATTGGGAATCCAACAATCGAAGATTAAATGCTTATAATTTAGTGATTTGCTGGTAATATTAGATTTTTCCAATTTAATATTCCAGAAATTGGGATGTGTTTTATGATCTTAAAATGGGGATATGTACACATTTCAGCTTGGATCCATGCTCCCTTTCTCTTTCCCTTCTTTCCTTTTTTAGGAGCTTGGGAGAGGTGCAGAAAGGGAAAATAATACTTACTGTGCATAGAATTTCAGTTTTGCAAGATGAAAAGACTTATTTAGGTGGATGATGGTGATGGTTGCAACACAGTGTAAATGTACTTAATACCACTGAACTATACACTTCAAAACGGTTAAAATGGTAAATTTTACATGTGTGTTTTGCCACAATAAAAAATTAAAATTGATGATACTCTAGCATTTAAGAAACACAGAATCCTAGCAAATTCTCCCTTCATATTGAATACAGGGAAACTGCCCAAATAACAAATAGAAGAGATTATGATATTTAAAAAATGGAAGCAGTGAATTACAAGGCAGGATTGTTATCTAGGCAGTTTCAAATGCAGGCTATAGTGACAGCAGACCTAAATTTTAATGTTGGCCCTAACTCTTCTATGCTTGTATGACCTCGGGAAATGCCTTAAGCTCTGTGTCTTGGTTTTCTTGCCTGTAAAATGGGGATGATGGTTACTGCCACTTAGGATTGTAAGGATCCTTACAATTGTATGAACTAAGATCCTTACAATCCTAAGTGGCAGTAACCATCATTTTACAGGCGTATGCTGAGCACCTATCAATACACCCGATAAAAGGCTAGTCGGAAAGGTAATACTGAAGAGTAGAGCATAGAGAGTAGAGGGAAAATGTTTAACAGGATCCCTTTGCAATGAGGGAAAGAGAGTTGGGTCCAATTACGAGGGGAGTTAGGTTACAAACCCTCCATACATAGTTCACATCTTGCGACAAAAGACTACAAACATTTCTCAGTGAAGAGGAGCTTCTGCAATATTTTAGAAAAACTGAAAAACTTTTTGGAAAAAAAATATGTATCTGTTAATAATAATAGATACATACTTAAGGTTTGGTTCATCTTTAATGATGGCCAACTTCAGAGGCTATGTAATTTAAGATGGATATTAACCTTTTCATTAGTGCAACTGGGCATTTGCAGTTCTAATTATTATTTTGCTGGAGCCAGGGAGATCCCCTGGTTTCTTGTAGGATGCAGGTTATTTCTTCACTGTTAATTGTTCCTCCCTGTTTATTTCATATGATCAGAAGCTAAATATGATAAAATACCAACACTAGTGGCCTGTTACAGTGAAGGGACATTAAATGTATAAGAATGAATTTACTAGTGTAGCTGTAGGTTTCTAGAAATGAACAAATTTCTTTTAAAACTCAGAAGTGTGTCTCTTGTGGTTAGAAAACCTGTAGACTATGATGTATTTGTTTAATCAAATTAAGGCTGAGTTTTCTGTTTTGATTGTGAAATATTATAATGTGTTAAGACAGATATTAATAATGGAGAATTATTTGCTTCATGAAGCTCCAGATTTAAGAAGGCAAATGGAAAAATATGTCTAATTGCTTGAGTCAAGCAAGTAGTTGTTTACTTTAGGTCTAACTTTATAAGTTGCCCTAGAACGTTCTTATAATATTTTATTAAACTGAGGATCATGACCTGGATCCATGTCAGCAGGGGATCAGGTAGTGAAATCCCAAAGGTGTCTGACCATTTGGCAGTTTTAATTTTGAGGTCATCTGAAAATCAGCAGAAATTTTAAAAATACAAGTTTCAACAAAGTAAGTGAAATACTGATGGTGAATACTAATGGTAATACCTCCAAAACAGTCATTAGCACCCACGAGATAGGTAGAGTGTAAACAGGGAAAATGAGGTGTTCTAGATTGGCTTCTGATCTGTTAAATCATCATAATACATTCCCTCTTATTTTTACATTAAAAGTTAGATAATATTAATTCCAAATTTATATTTTTAAAAGTTGCTGTAAAAATAAAAATACTCATAACTTAGAAGAGTTCAGGCATGGGACGCACTCTCTGCAGGGCTGCTGGCTGTTCTCCATGAGTCCCCGTCCTACCACCCTCTGATCCCTGCTGCTTTCTGACCAGCTTTGCTTTTCATGTGAGCCTCCAGGAAATGTTTTCTCAGGCCTTGGCAAACAAGGTACATCTTAAGATTGTATCCCATATGTGATCACAATTATCTGAGTTATGCGGTGCCTCACTGAGACGTCCTAGCTAAAATTAAGGCAGTTTTCCCCTTCGAATAGCTTCAAGTAAACTCCCATGGAATGTGTCCACAGACACAGAAAAACGCATTGACCAAATCAGCAG